TGGAAATCGGCCAAATCTAGGCGCAGTGCCACAGCGCCCTTGGGATTCATTGAAACCCTTAAGGTACTGGTTGCTCTGGAAGAAGAAGGGGCCATCACCAAACTTTTGGGGCGCTTCGTTCAACTTCAGATGCTGAAACTGTCCAAAGAAACCGAACACACGTACATGAAACATAAGGAAAAGCAGAAAGATCAAGATTTATATTGCTACTTACATGGCACTTGCTTGATAGTTTACTCACCGATCGTCTTCTCTACGTGAGACCACTTAGGCCGTTCTACTTACCAATTCTCATCCCGAGTTACAGCGAACGTGCGGAATAATAACCTGACTGATAAAGCTCGTAACAAAGTGATCACATCAGTTTAAGCTCATCGTCATGCTTAGGCAACGCTAGCCGAAAGTGAACAGACTGTGCTTGACGTCAGCTTACATGAGTTCTGACCTTTGGACCGACGAAAACTAAGAAAAGCTAGAAGAGGCTTGCCCTAATCCAAATTCTATCTCATGAGCACTGCTTTTCGTGGTGTAATGATAGCGATACATTAACTGTGCACTCAAGAATTAAATGCAGGATAAAACTCTGGAGTTGGGTACGGAAGTGAACAGTGCCACTATCAAACCAGAAGAAAACTTTTTGCGACTGGCTCGAGATACGACTAAAAGTCAGGGACACACATCATTGAGTGATAGGCATCCGTCAAGACGTTATGACATGCTGTCTACCTCGAGTGGTTATCACTACTGTGTAATCATTCACAGGGCTCTGTGAAGTAATTCTATTAGTTAAAGCCAGACATGTCGGTAATCTCTGAGCAGATGCATGCTAAGTGTCAAAGGTAATGTTTACTGAGCCTGGAAATTTCCTCCCCTTATAGAAAGAATGTAGATACGTGAGTTCCTTCAAGATTGTCACTTGAGGTCTTGTAAATGTCGTCAAAAGAAGACCAGGTGGTTTCTCAACGGTCGTCTGAGAGAGTTTTTGGAGATTCTCTCAACTCTGGCCAGTGGACAAGGTGGTGATAATGAAGCAACGTAGTTAGCGGCGACTCACGGTCGTCACGTGACAAAGCCAGCATCGGTTTTGTGCTAGGTCAGAAGGTGGACTGCTGTTCAGCGTCCTTGTTTAATGCCTACTGCCTCGAGGCTATACAACTTCGCAGCTAACGGTTTTGGACTGACCGACTTGCACACACTTAACTGACTGTAGTTCGCACACGCAAGTCCTGATAGTCGTGACTACCTAAGGGCCACTTGAACACGCCACCCCTCAGCCGACACCACATAGGCCACTATACACAACAGCTCCAACATACACACCATTTGAACTTGCTCCACAAACATTTAACAGCAGCTGCTTCCGTTATCTCCCTCTATTAGGCATAAATGGACGCAACCCTGGCTTTGCCCGCACCTTAGCGGGCAACTGGGAGTCTTGCGCACAATAAATTACTTCCAAATTTACCTTGCGTTCTTTCCTACAACCCGGGAGTTGAACTGATGACTATAGTGTTTTGAGTAAATACACTGCTTAGACGCTACAAATATAGGATTATTAGTAATGATTTATTTTGCCCACAAGTACCTCGCGTCAGTAATCGTGTGCAAACGTAAGGGAGGATCGCAAACAATAGATTTTATTTGACCCAGTTTCGCTGCCTCTTTCCCATGAGGTCTATTTTATTTCTAGTTGACAAGGCTTCATTTCAATCGTTTTCTGTTAACTTGAGAACTACAATTGGGAAACATCTACAAACCTGTCTTCCATCGTAAGTCCAGGAACCCGACAAAAATTGTCCATGTCTGCAATAAACCTTCCTTCATGTTTTGTAGCTTAGTTTTTTTACTAGCTGTTTCTTACGCTGCGATATTTCATATTAGTAAGTGGACAAGTTCAGCACCAGCCCTGGCCACGCTATTATCCACTGCTGTTTGAGACAGCAACCCAGAGTTATGAGCCAAACAAGTCCTTTATTCTGGTGACTTTCGTCTTTTTGGTATTTGGCCTGATAATTTTAGTGAACTCAGTACACGACAGTTCGACCATCGGTTTCAAGGAGGTCCACCGTGTGCCATAGAGCAGGGTGGTGCAGGGAAGGTAAGTTGCAAGTGGATTAGTTTTAATTGATAGCAGGCTTGCGCTGCATCTAACACGCTCTTTCTCCCCTCCCCCACCTGTGCCCAGTGTCAAGACAGAATCAAGAAAACTGGAGACAGGATCGGGCGCAAGTGACT